AGATGACTGGACAGTAATCCACGGAGGAGAGCTGTCTCATTAATAAACTTGTCCCTTGCAATGAGACTCCGCTCACACAGATGTGTCAGCTCCTTTATTCGCAGGGAGCAGCCTGAGAAAGACGACGGCAGCTGCGCCCTCCGCGACCGGTGCGGGCTGGGGTGAGGGGGCAGCGGGGAGCGTGCCTCCTCCGTGCTGCCTCGGCAGCTCTCCCCATGGGTGGCTTCTACCCACACACAGAAAACAAAGCTATGAAAGCAGGAGGCTGTCCTATTTGCCTCCATCATGCAAAGCTGCCGATAACATCTTTTTCCTAGGTCTCATTCGGCGTTGTACTGCTGATGTTTCGCAGCAATGAAGTTCCTACAGGCTTTCTTTTTTTACCGCATGTAAAAAGGGTTTTTAAATCCAAACAGCTCATGTACCTGGAGGAGACAACTGGTCAGCAAGTGTGACCTGCAAATTGTTTCTTCTTGGTTCATGAGTCATTTTTTTTTTACCCCTTTCTTTTCTTAAGTTCTCCAGCACTTGAACTGAAGGAAAATCAGAATTTGGCTATGGCCCTGGCCTTGCCAAGCAGCACACGATATGCTCTACAGCCCAGCTCCACAGCCTGTCTCCTGGACATGCATTCCAACACTCTCTCTTTGAGCAAGAAGGTGTGAAAGAACCAGAGGAAATTCTCCCACTGAGAGAGAAAGGACTGTGCAAACCAACAGCTCCACTTGAGTGAGGCAGCTCTGCAAAACTCCTGAAAGGAGGACTCCTGTGCAGTCTTGCTCTACCTCACAGGTAGCACGTGTCTCCTGTGGTGCTCCCTACACACAGGAAGACATTCAGGAGGTTCACTACTGCTGCTCACCTACCACAAAGTTTCCCTGTGAACATCTAACTGTGAAACAGAGAATGAAAACTCCATTAAAGATGAAAGGAGCAAATTATGCATCATAACGTCAAATGACACTGACCCTGTCTTTCCATCTTTCTCCTAGAAAATAAGAAAGTTGGAAGTAAGCTGCCAACTGCATGAATGCCTCGTTTAACCTCACCACTGGGATACTCTACATATTATTCTGACGTTAACAGAACACTTTCAATAATTTATAGCTAACCTTTTATCCTACTATATTTTGAAATCTACTCCCTTATAGTACTAAAAAAACAAAGGAGAAAGGGCACTTTGTGTGGCAACTACTCTATGAGTCAGTGAGCACGTACATGTGAGCAGGCAGAGGTATGGGCAGCAGCCTGCAGAATCACAAAAGTATGACAGAAACAATGTTTACAAGTTCAAATGCCCCAAGCTGTGGAAAAGAAGCAATGGAAATAAACACATCAATCTGGAAAAAATTAATCTGAAGAGGCTAACATTTGAAAAGCACCTACTGCAAAACCCAAACCTACAGATATTCTCTTGGTGGAGTCCAAAAGAAAACGAAACTCACTCCAGTCCTGGGCAGAGACTAACAATTTTTGCATATTTAAAATATTATACCCAGGATATTCCTGGGACCAGGTTCCTACCTTTGCTACTTCAATACATAATTCCTCCATTTGATAATTTATTTTTTTGCCAAAAAATACAATTAAGAAAAACCCAAACAACTTTGCTAGCATTGCCGTACCACAGCAGCAGTACAACTTTGATTCAGTCCAGATCCGTCCCACACAACTGATCTCTAGTGCATGCAGTAATTCTGCAAAGATGGTCTTCCTCCTCCTCTGCAGTAACACTGCCCCACTGACTGCAAAGCCCCTTGCCCCATCCCTCTGTAATGCAGCTTGGCTACATGCAGCCTCGGCTGCACAGAAGAATCCATCTGTTGCGACTTCAAAGAAGATGAGTTGGAGCTCTGTGATTCCCCAAACCCACAAATATTCCACCTTGGTTTGCCTGATTTGTCATTAACATTTCTCATGCCTAAATTAAGCAGGACGCAAAGCATCAGATGCGTGCTGACGGTGTTGGAGCCGACCAGCTTTTATAGCTTAGCCTCATTTCCCTCCACACCTCCAGAAATTTCTTGGGTGCCTGTTGCATACCAACACATAGCAAACCATCACAAGCCAAATTAATATTATTAGTGTGCACTAACTATTAAGGGTTTGATGCAAACTCCAATAAAACTAAGGAACCAATTATTTTACCACATCTATGGGGCACTGACCTGTTTGCCCATTTTCCCTGTTCTCAAAGATCCTTCAGCCTGGTACCCAACTCTGTGATGAAGCCTGTTTAGCACCAGTGAAGTTCCCCACATTCAGACCAACAACGTTCTGAGCTGAGATGAGGGAATCAAAGTTAAAATCCAGCCCATCTGCATCCATGAGTTCACTGCGGATAATGGACTCCATGTCACACTCCAGGCTCCCATTGAAAATATCCAGGTCCAAGTCACTTGGGAATTTCTCGTGTCCCATGACCGGGAGGTTCACGCTAGAGGAGTACAAAGAGGAGCCTGAGAGCGGGTCAGAAAGTGTTTGCATAGACTGATTGACAGGTGACTGCTGATGTTTGGTGGATCCCAAGCTGTTTGAGTCACTCAAGCCTATGTTACTGATGGAACTGGACAAGGCACGGCTGCCACTAAGAGAGGAGTTGTGGGACTGGTGCTGGTGATGGGGCAGGCTCTGACTGACCAGACCACCTTGGCTGGACTGCGCGGCAAACGACATCATGGGGTCGTTGCGGAGCATTATATTCCTGCGGGAATTCTGGGCGGACACAGCTGTGCTGGCTTGTGACATGAGTGGGTCAGACTGTGTCATCATGACATCACTGTGACTAAGTGCATCAGAGGCGAGGAGATCCTGCAGCGTCTGGTTGTTGTAATGAGAGATGGAAGAGAAGGTGGCCTGCTTGTTCTCCTGAATGGTCTGCATGGGCGACTGGCGGAGAGAATTCAGGGACGACGGACCAAACACGGCGTTGTTGAAACTACTTGACGGGGAACCCAGCCCTGAACCTTTGGAACCATACGGAAAACTGGAGCTTCTCTGCATTATCCCTCCTGTGGGTGACTGCTGGGAGGGAGGGAGTGTTATATTGTCCAAGAGATCATCCATGAGGTTATCTGTCAGTCCATCGTTCAAATTCATTGTCCCAGCCATGTCAGTCAACCTAGGCAACTCCACAGTACATGGTTTGTTTACCGATGGGGACAAGCTCGATGGACTACTGTACAGCATGGGAGAAAGTGGAGCGTCGTCGTCTTGAACATCGTCTAGTTCGGTGCTTGCCAAAATCGGTGACAGGCGGCCGCTGATGGTACTGGCATTCGAATTTGTACGGGAGCGAAAATCTGTCCACGCATCCAGCTCATCGCTGCTGCGGGAGGTGGGACTCCCTGGCCATTTGGAGAGCTGAGAAGGGCTGTCCTCGCTCGTCTCCTGGGCAGTCTGCAGGGCTGCCTTTTTCTTAGCTGCCCGCCCTCTGCTCTTTGTGTACTTGTTGCTGTTGTCCATGGACACGGCACGTCTTCGGGGCGCCTTGCCGCCTTTTCCACCATCTGGATTGATCATCCACCAGGAGCTCTTCCCGGTGCCTTCATTCTGCACCCTGACGAATCGGCTGTGGAGCGACAAGTTGTGACGGATCGAATTCTGCAGGAAAGGAACAGAACAAAACATCAAGGTTAGCACCCTACTTCTTCAACTACCAAATCTCAATTATTAAACCAGCATCACAGGAAAACAGCAGCGTGACCATCCCTGGGAACATTCCGGGTCAGGTTGGACAGGGCTCTGAGCAACCTGCTCTAGTTGAAGATGCACTCAGTGCAGTGGGGTTGGACTAGATGGCCTTCGGAAGTCCTTTCCATCCCAAACCTGTCTATGAGTAAACGCACTGTGCCTTCCTGGGCAACACCACGGGTTTCTCAAGCGGTGGATACAGGAGGGCTGGAGTGTGACTGCAGCATGCCAGCATGCTGCTGTAAAGCAAGCCCCATGCTTGCACTAGCTGTGCATTCCTGGTGTCCCTCTCTACACCCTCTAAAGCTGCATACCAAGGAAGGGGATGTGACATAGCTCCATTCCTACTAGCAAGGAGGCAGATATTTCGCCCTTACTTTTGTGTCAGGACAAACCTCTGTATTATCAGCAATCTTGCCATCGGTTCCTTAAAATAAGAACTGCAAAGGCACTGTAAAAATCTGACTGGAGGAGTAGTCACACTCATCTCAGCCTCTGCAAATGTCTTTTTAATTCTTCACCGTCATGTGTGTTGTGTATCTGTTTTAATAAGTCTTGAGAAAACTCTAAGTGCTGTTGCTCCTCCCCCACAGGCACTCGGTGCATGACTAAGCTGTACTTTCTCTCTTCATTAGAGGCACTGTGCTGCAGTAGCTGGCCAGCTGTCCCCTTGCTGTAGTATCCTCACAGTCTTCGAAACGTGATGTGACACAGTAGACAAGGATACCGCTGTCCCTGTCAGCTGGTAGGTACAGAGCTGTATAGAGCTGCTGTACAGTGAGACACCCTGTGCTGTACAGGATGCTACGAAATTCAGTACTTCCAGGGGAGCCAGTGCACTCTCTGCTCCTGCACATGACCTGTTTGCACTAGTCAGCAACATCTACTGTCTAAAAATCACATTGGCACAAACCAATGATAATCACCTCAGAATCAGAAAAAGGCCAAGAAAATCAGCCCACAGTACTCTCACTGAAATGGCTCCAAATTTAAACGAAAATAACTGAGATGAAAATCCCATTCCACTCATCCTGTTCATCTTGAACTTAAAATACATCTCAGAGAAAGGACAAGCAAGTAGTATTTGTCAGTGAGAATGCTTCTAGGATGTTTTTTTTTCTATGTGCAAGCCCAAAGGTTTTTTGAGCTATCCCATACTCCTTTGTCAAAACAGTTGTGCTATTCCTCTAGGTTAAAGATGATCAAGTTAAAAAAGTTCAGAAGTTCTTTTTTCTTATGTTTTGGCACTTGCTGGGTATATCTACGAGGAGAGTAAAATCACATTTGTTTTACCAGCATGCTTTAAAACCACAAAGTCAACAGGACCACAGCATAATCAAACCATCCATGATAAGTGCCCTTCATTTACAAAGCACTGAAGAAATTCCAGATTTAAATAGGCAAAGAATGAATCAATCAACAAATCATTCACAAGCATCTTGACATTTGCATCCTTAGGATAAATGGATGTTTGACATAAGTGAACTGGAGACACAACTGATGTATAAAGAAGTACAGCCCAGATTTTTTAAAACAATACTTTTCAATATAAAATGCCTTTTTTCCCCCCTCTGTTAAGTGTTGTGGTTTTTGTCAGATTGTGAAATGGAAAACATGCCTGAAGTTCTTCTCGCAGGCAGACAGCAGACGCAGTCATGATTATCACTTAATGAAAAGAGAAATCATATGGACCACGGTTAAAAATAGCAACTGTCATGTTTTAAACAATTTGCACAGAACAGCAGACCAGACTTTGCAGACATACTCAAGAGAAGTTTGGGTCAGTGCCTCAGCTGTAAACTTGTTCATTTCTAAGGGAGAGCATGCCATCAAAATACAGTGGACTGAGCTGCAGCAGAATAGTTCTTCAGTCTAAGGAAGGAAAGAGCTTTTTATTATTTAGCTGATGACATTTTAACTGTATTTTGAGTCTGGCAACAATCTGTTTCTAACTTCTATTAACTAGGTGCCACTGCTTACTTCCTTAGGTTTCTCCCAACTGGCTGGAGACCTGTTGTTTTGTTTTGTTTTTTTTTTTTAAAATAACCTTTGTTGATATTCCAGCTTGTACTGCATCAATGCAGGTAGCTCTCACATTCATCCCCCTTGACTTTCATGAACAACCACTTGCGAGAACATCTGCATGGGATGTCTCCTTGCAAAGACCTAGCAGCAGGATGAGGACATCCAGAACCAGGCCACTACATCAAGCCAGGCTATAAGAGCCATACAAACCATGCTGGTCCCCACCTAAAAATGCTGGGTATAAGGATACACAGCACTGTGACTCTTGCTAACGAAAAAATCTTAGAAAGTACAAAAAAGAAACACCCAAGGTGGCATATTCAGCATACCACATAGCTTTATATATAAAACCACTCAGCCAAAGTGCCAGCAGCTAACAGATTTCAACCTACAGTAGTCTCATAAAATGGCTTATTTTTGCTGGTGGTAGCTGAGTGCTGAAACTATTTGGCCTAAAAACATGAAAAATCTGAAATGGTAAAATAGAGACTGAGGCACCTTTCAGGATGAGGGCTTCTGCATGTGGGGATATGCATGTGCGCACATGTAATTTTTTTCTTATTATATGTTTTTGCTCAGTGTTGGTATTACACAAATAATAAAAGAATGTAATAATACTTTTGTGTTGAAAATTGGTGGTTATAAAAAATCCAAGCAGTTTGTTTTCCTTTACATCAAGCAATATGCCACTTATACTCTGGCTTCTATTTTTCTTTACTTTTCTTCTATAGGAAGATTGTTTTCTTAAACATAATTATGGGCTAATTTATTTTTGTCTACCCCATCTCCACCCTCTGTTCAAACACTGCCTTAAAACCCACTTCTTTCACGTAACCTCCCCCACTAACCTCTTCAGCAACAGTATCTGAATTTCTTGGTTTCTCCTTGTGTTGGATGCTCTGCCAAATCAAATTAGGGCTGGATCCTATTATCCTTTCACATGCAAGTTTTGCTACAAAAGTCACTGACAACTCACATCAGTAAAGGCTTTTGTGCTATGCTACCAGGCTGCAATCTCGATGGAAATAACTGTATTTTCTACCTGGTTTCTGAACTGTCAAAGAATGTTCCCATCTGCTTACAATACATGAAAATATCATGGGACAATCTTTGCTCACAACCATGTGCCTTAGGAATATATGACCGTGTGATAAATCACAAAGGAGGTGAGGAAGCAAAGAAGATATACTTTATTATTTGAACCCACCGTTGATCAAATTAATGGGGATTTGTCTTTGACTTACATGGGAGACAGATTAGGCCACGATGATGGAAACATGACACATTTTTCCATGCCAAAATGAAACAAGAAATTTTGAAAGATCTATAAAGGAGCTTCCATCAATCTGTCCTGGAGACCATATGTAGATGGGACAGATGCTAGCCAGGCTGCAGACACCTTGGAAAGAGCTCAGATACCACCAATGGGTACAACATATGGACTGTACAAGAGCAGGGCAGAAAAGAAATACGATGAGCTCCACACTTTTTTAGTGTCACTGTTAATACCAGACTTGAAGAACGCTGTGCACTCTGCTGGGAGCCAGAAGACTGAGGTTCCTGCAGATAAGATCAAGGGCATCCCATACAACACTGAGCCCAGCACAGCTGGGTTCCAGTCCCCTGCGGAAGTGGTCCTGCAGGGAAGAATGACCAGCCTTGGAGATGAGGAAGACCCAGGGCAGAGGAACATGAGGCAGGGCAGATGTTGTGTGAACAGAGGGTGGTACAGTGCCACAGACAAGCAGGGTTGATACCCTACCCTGGCTTAGGCTAACAGCATCAGGAGATGGGGTGCAGCTGGGTGCCCAGTAGTAGCCGGGGCAGAAACACGAGGAGTGACAGCACTCTCCCCAGACTCAGGGCTGTGCTCTCAGCTTTTACAGATGTCGATCCACTGCACTGCATTTTGTTCAGTTAATACTCCTCGAGGGAACCAGCCACATTTCTTTTGGAAAAAAAAAAAAAAAAAAAGAAATCGGCTACCATGACCTAATTACATGTGTCTCTCTTGATATTTTGATAAGCCTGCAAATGGGGAAGCTCCCAGAGAGGACACTCAAACACTTCCAAAGTACTGTATACCCCATTTGATACGAACAACTGAATGAGTCTCCCAGGGAGGCTGGGACTGCATGTTATTTCAACACTCAGCCCCAGTCAGGCAGCAGCAGCAAATGCTTGAGCCTTTAAAACAGAGAAAATTCCCCCTCCCTGTGCATGTTTCGGCCTCTTCCAAGCTGTGTTTACCTTGTGGAGCCTGTCCATTAACTCAGACACCAGCTGCAAGTGCTTCCACTGTAGTACAGAGTCTTTTTTGTCTGGAAGCAACATGTGGTATCAATTTATCATCCTCAACAACGCAACAAGGAATCCACTCACTTTAAAAATAAAAAGAGAGTTGTGTAACTTAACTCTTAAAAGTCCCTGCTTTTTTTTTTTTTTTTAAAAAAAAAAAAAGCCTAAAGATTAGCAAGATGAGGTGCAGCTGGTGGCTGCCGAGTCCAAGTTACACACTGGTCTGTTTTTATTGCAGTGTTTTGTAGTGAGTGGCTAATTAGTTATTTCAGATATAAATCAAAAGCAGTTGTTTATTTTAACAAGTGGGATACCAGGACATGATGAGAGAAAAACAAACGCTACCTTCAGACCCACAAATGCTGTTAATGCTCACTTGGGAGAATGATATTTTATACTGTATTAACATATTTGATGTTCTAACTTCACCATATGAAGTTGTCTGGTAGCCACACATAAGAGAAATGCATCAGATCTAGCACCACGAAAAAGAAGCCATGAAAATCACTCCAGCTTATCAGCCTCCAGCTGACCAGTGGGGAGCCCTGCTTCTCCAGGGCTCAGCTTGCTTACTTGAATTTCATTTT